TATGAAACTCCAAGTGAAACCAAGTTCTTATCATTAGCAGTAGTTTCAAATGGGGCTCACCTCATATCATGATGATTCGCAAATGAAAAAAGGAAACAAGGAAAGACCAACTGCGAATTGCTAGACATTCATTGCAGTAGATTAAATAACAAACAAAAAAAAGAAACATACCCATCCCACAAAACTGCAAATCTATACAAATGATATACTCTAGAGATAGAAGAACTGTGAAAGAAGGTATGAGAGTTCATTACTGCGTATGAATTAGTATCGTATCTCACGAGGTAATAGAGCATGTTGTCGTAGGGAAAAAAAACATGCGGATTAAATAAATATTTGGCTTTTACATTTCGTTTCGGGTTGTCCTTGTGTTATCTCTACTGCGAAAACTAAGGAAGATATCGCGAAGTGTCGCATCGACGTAAAAATGACGTTATAGAGTAGAATAGAAGTCGTTTCGGTATTTTTACCCGTCAAAGGACAGAAATTCTTATACGATTTCAAGCAATGACATAATATATTTTGTAATGGTCCGCATCTTCGTCGACGATGTCCCAACTGTCAGCCAATTTATCTATTTACGCTTGTTAGAAATTTTCGGATCCGGCGTTGAATTCGTACAGCCACATCTTTAGACCTTCTCTATTGGCAAAGGTACGGTCACTACTTTCATTTGCTAATGATAGAAAAAAGTGATAATTGATCAGAGTGACGTCTCGAGAATATGGTGAGTGCAACAGAATCTTTTATTAACGTAATTGCAGGGTGAGCTTCGTTCTTTGTCAGGATTGCCTACTCCGTTGCGTAGCCCTGTTTACTCGTTGAATCTTGGCTATAAGTAGACTTTTGCTGACCGTCCTGTTCATCTTAAACAATTCGCAGAGCATAAATCCCTTCCAGTCTTCAACTCGAGTTATTGTTTCGTTGGAATGAAAATATCGTTGAACTCTGGCCTTCCGTGTACCTCTCAAAACTTTTCACTTTTTCCTTTCCTTCGTATCGACATGATAGAAGACATCATTTCCGACCGCTGTTGACAATTCGATATAAAAACCTGTTATTGTTCGGAGCCTTTGGATTGACAATGAGAAGTTTTGGAGGTGATCAGAAGCGATTTTTCTTCGTCACCAAAGCGGTAGCTCACAAGGCACTTAAGCTTATCACTTCCGAGTAAACCCCGTACGTCCAGTACGATCGTCGGTAGTCATGTTCCTCTAATATTCTCGTAGAGAGCACGATTTATTTGTCGACCGTCTCTGTCGTCTAACAGGCCCGAATGAAATCTTCAACGAAATTGCCGGTATAAATATAAGGGGCAGAATTTTTAAAATAGTAAAGAAAACTAACCAAATCGCACTTTGTTTATTGTAAGGAGCGTAACTATAATTAAATCAAATATTTAACATATAAACAGAAACGTTAGTAAGAAAACTACTAGATATACATTAAATTTCTATTCGCAAGACTAATCTGACCGTATTTCTCTCAAAAAAATCTCACAAGACATCAAGCACTTACGCTTCTCTTGGGCGTCAGCACTGGTAATCAGTTATTCCTAGTTTTTACAGAAATATCGAAGGGAACTATTACGAAGATCCAAACAAGAAACGTGATGAAGATTTTTGAATTACGTAAAGCTTATACACGCAGGAGCTGGTGTACAAATGACTACTGAAGATCGACATGGCCATAACGTAGGTTGGAATAAAATGTGTTAAGAGGACCAAATAAAGGGTCAACTTTTTTGTTACTGATTCAGGTTGTTTGTACAAGCTAAGTTTGAGCAGCGTTCAAAAGAGCGTGGACGCGATGGGTGATAAAAATCAAGGCACGTAGAACATCATCTGTGTAAATGATATCTATATATATATATATAAAGAACGGCGCTTGATTATTGTCGATGGCAGTATAAAACGTACTAAGTATTTCCATTTTCTTCTATACTTTGCCTAATGTATTAAGTGACTAAGTAGATCTCCGTATATTGACTGCTTGACATCAGATTTAATTCGTTGAACATTTTGCCGTAACATTTTCCCTTTTTGGTTGCTAATGTGGTTTTTTTAATAGCTAGAAATATGCAGAGTGAAATAAAGAGAGATATTTATCCTTCACACAGTCCTTTCATACTACGCTAGCCTGACCCTAATCTCTGTTTGCTCACAGCGTTCCTATTGAAGCTTAACAAGTGGCCCTATTCGTCGTCGTTGATTTCAGCAACGTGTGACAAATCGTTAAGATTGATTGCCATGTTGTTCAGGAGGACTCACCGCCTGTAGATGAAGAACATTGAGAAATAGGAAAACCTGCAATTGTGTCGCTCCGTAGAAGAACGGAGTTCGTTTTCTACGCGGCGGCCCTCGTTCTTTAGAAGCCATCCAAACATGACAGTTGACAGGGGCGGGGACAAAAGATGGCTAGGTGAAGGCAAATGGACAACTCATGCGCAAACAAGACAGGAGCGCCTTTGCTAACATATTTGGCACACTGCCGTCGCACGTCGAAGGTCGAGGTAAATTAGAACGCTTAGCGCACGTTTTCTTTTGTTGATGTTCATTGTGAAGACAACGCTGTTCTCGGGAGGCGCGCATTTTTGGTGTTACATGGTTCATTGAGGACACGCTGAGAATTACAAGCGCAGACCCTGAGCGTAGTTGGGAGCATTTTTTTACGGTAATCAAACAATAACTATTGTACGCTTTGGGAAAGGCTAAACTTCTAGTGTATGAGGTGTAATAGTACTGATTGAAAATAGGGACCCTATATCGCTATACAAAGAGAGATACTTTCATGTATCACTTCATACTCAAGGAGCTCTTCCTTTATCTTTACTGGGCGACGCTGAGAAGATCGAGGTCACGGCCACATACCGACGGTCTCCCTAATCCACGTTATGAACGGAGCTTTTTAATCGGATCTACTATTGGGTGTGAATCGACTGGTTTACTAATCGTAGGCTTGTCTCAGGATTTTCCTGCGTATCGTGATTGCTTCCAGGCGCATAAGGTGTCTTAACGAGGAGATACCGTGGTAAAAATAGTAGTTTATTCTTCATGCATTGTAACTTCAGTATCACAGAAAAACCCGTATAGATTTAACATTGAGCTTCGAAGTTACTTCACTTTAATAGAAGTTTCAATTTCTTTCACCCTGAGCGGTACCTGATTCTGTGCTTCATTCGACTACCCGTACTTACAGAGAAGAGAATAAACCCAGCGGAGATATCTTAATGGACTGAATGGGTGATCTGTTACGTAATGATAAATGGTGCTTGCCCGATCTGTTCTGTGTGCAGTGTGGGTATTCATTTCGATAGAGTATCTTCTAACTGATACAAACAACGTTCCAGTTCTGAATGTTTCCTTTACAATAAAACGATTATCTGAACTTTTTGTTAGAACGTATATCAGCAAACGTCGAGTGAGCGACTAGATTGGCGATAAAAAAAAAAGTACAGGTTTATCAAGAGATAACGCCTGATTTAATTCTCTACTTACTGTGGTGGCACCAATTGACCTATTGAACTGACCTGTCACACGCGTTTCATCTCAATAGCATTGCATTTTGCTCGTTACCGAAGAGGTTGCTATGAAAACTTGGGATCACTGCACGGCTTTCAGTAAAGGACCAAGTAGATTAAGTCGATGTTCCTATTTTACTAACACTTCATAACAATGAGCTTTTCTTTTTGAGGCGGTCCAAGTAATACTTTGACATAATGGCCGGACACCACGCGCACAAGCCTATTTTGTGTGGGCCGACTGCGGGGCTCAGTCACTTGGGTAACGCTCAGTTTCGCCGAAGCTGCTAGCCACCATTAGCTTTCAATTTGTAGCTAATTTTTCACCCTATACGATGTCGGACCATCGTACCACAATGCTACGAGAGTAGTTAGGTCAGATGGAGCGATGATGTTGCGCGGTTGGCAGCAGTCGACCGGCGCTCTTGCCTAACTCGAAACGGAATTTTCGTAGTTACTGTACAATTAGGCACAATATATTTTCCTATAGGGAGAGAACGGATCAATCTACCCTAAACAAAACGTAATGTCGCTATTATCGATTAAATTCATATATATTGTCATATTATTTATACAGTATGTCGTATTAGGGAACGTACCGCTTCAGTGTCTCATAAATCAATCCTATTGCAATTGATTGACAACAATCGCATAATTTCCCTTTAGACCAAATATATAGGTTGAGCTACGAGGGTGAGAAAAAAACAGCCTGGTATCAGTGGCTTTCTATACAGGTAAACGTCGTCCAAAACACTGAAACGGCCACTGGTGTAAGTTCGCGTTGAGCTGACGTCTGCGCAGTAGACAACGTCCCTAAAATTAATTTATGACAATTTAATTGCAAAAATCGATTTGACTGACCATTATTGACAGTCGGCACTCCGATTTTACTAGATCAACAAAGGCATACTTCGATAAATAAAATTATTATTGGACTAGATTCGCTGTTCCCGTGAAGCTGCAAACGGAAAACATGATGGGCAAGAACTGGGCGTATACGTCATTTGAAGCGGCGCATAGCAGCAACGCTCAACGTGAAGTCCGAAACGTTAACACACCATTGTTACCTGATGATTTAACATGTAGACCGATAGAAACTGCTGTGAGGTCGTCACTGCTGACGGCAACGACACCTTCAGTCTGACAATCTGTGCTGGTACCGTTACGCTTGCTTCTGTTTTCGATAGAGATACCATTAGGCGGATTACAGTGGCCACTAATGAAGAAATGGAGCCGCAGATTATGGGTTATTATTGCTATGAATCTGTTGGTGGTGCCATGGATTCTGAAGTAGTTTGGCAAAAAAGCCCGGAGGCAGTGGAAAGCTCCGCTGATGACAACGAAGGTGTCGGTTGAAGCGATCAGCTGGTAGCA